ATTTGCAGTGTGTAATAATAATAATAATAATATATCCGAGCCATGGCATTCCGATCGGAGAGCGCAMATCTACATCCGAAACGTGTATCCGACTGGTGTCATTATTGCAGTTTTTGGGGTTTTTATTATGACCGCACTCGACGTACAAATAGTATTATTTTCCGCGGCGGGCTGCTATTCAACGCAACTCGTTGAAAGTGGRAAATAAAAATAAATATACATTTAAAAAATAAAAATGGACGTAAATCCATCGCTGAGTAGTTTATATGCCATCACACTCGGCCGGACTCGGGCACAGAAATTTATGATCTGGAACCATCGCACACGTCTGGAGAGTGTGATAGACGGGTGGCGGATATACGGTTTAGGGAAAAACATTTTTGACCGTAATAGGATATTATGGCGCTACGCCACCGGCAGATTTGTGTTGGTTGCCGGAAACGGACTTTGGGAATGGACAGAAAYACATTGAAAATTTTAAAATGTATACAATTACCTCGGACAATGACTTAGAAAGAATAGTACTTTTATACAAAGAGCTTCAATTAATCTGATTGAAATCATGTTCAACCTAATTAATATGACGTTCCGCTGTTAAGAATTGGCATACAGTACGCCCAGTACGGATTGTATTATAAATCCTAATGCTGTTTTCTTATATGTTCCYCTCATTTGTCTCGTTCAAATGCAGTATTATTTTGAAAACTGTCTACTAAAAGTTCTACTCATAAATATTGTTTGAATATTTCATATTTTTAATTATGATACATTAAATTATTTGCATTATATTCTTAATAGAGTGTGGTGTAGTTAAGTTAATATACCTATATTAAAAATAAAATATTAATTGATTGTATACGATTGTAAACTTAATAATTTCAATTTTAGGTATACCTCTACATTTGTGCCTTATTTTCATTTTTTTTTTTGTTCTAATTGGCAGGTAATGTAATACAATATTTTTAATAAAATGAATATAGGTAATATAATATAAAGTATAGAAAC